AATCACGTGAAGCCTTTTTGAAAAGTTTTTATTGCATTTTTGAACGAATCATGAAATCGCAATTTTTGAAATTTGAGTGTGTGGCGCAGCATTAGGAGGTCTTTAGACCGAGCCAACCATATATATTCTTTTTATTTTATTATCTTAGACTAATGCCAACAGTACTTAGCATTAGTACTGTAGAGTAGGAACTGTGCAGTATAGAGTATTTTGGGAAGGCTCCTAGCTGTGTGCAAAGATGGAGGCCTTGGGAATTTGAGAACCCTTAGCTGTGTGCAAAGATAGGGAGATTTATATATTGGACTTTTTATTTATTTTATCTTATATATTTATTGGACACAACCCGAGCTGTATTTGAATTTACACGCTCGCAATATCTTGGACCATCTTGAAGCCGAAATCAAAAAAATGTCAACACACTAAAAGAAAGTATAACGAAAAGATTAAATGAAAATGAGTTATCGATCATGATCTGGGTAATGTTGAATCAGCAATAAATGATGCAGCAACAATGGAAAATTTTATTAGGACATGCAAAAAAATTTTTTTTGGGTTGTAATTTTGTTTTTATTAAATAAATTTGTTTAATTTTTTCATACATCATTCATGTTTTGTCTTAATCATATATCTTAAATGTTGACATTTGTTATATTAAAGTTATTTTGGTTATATTGAGAGATATGGTCAAGAGAAGAGTTAGGAAGAGAGTTATTCTTCAACCAAGTCAAAAATCAACCCTTTAAATACATTTTCAGGTAGTACAATTTAATTTATTAGACTATTTCAAAGGTTTGTTGCATGGTTGCTTCCAACTTCTTAAATTTGAACCATTTGTTAACGAAACAACTGTTAGTGAAGTGATTGTTGACAAAATGAATCAAACCAACATTTATTTTTATGTTATCAAATTTGCGCCTGTTCTTATTCCTCCACTCAAACAAATAATTGTTCACAATACAACAAATGCTATTTGGAATGTAATTGTTTTTTATGTGTCAATTCTTAGTAAACATTCTGGTCTTGGGGCAGTTCTTGTTATAAATTGAATAAAATTGATTTGAATTTTCTGATTTATTATTATTATTATTAAAATAAATAATTAAATAAATACTAATAAATTCAATTTATAAAAAAAAATTTTTGTGTTTTTGATTTTTATGTATATACAAATAAAAAATTTAAAAATAGATCTATCTATTTCTCTTCTCAACTCCGTGAATAAGTCATATGTAACTTAAGTATTTGCTAGAAAATTCATTTTATTAAAGAATTATGATTTACTTATAAACAAGCAATAGATATCCACCTTCTTTAATTTGTTGTACTAAAGGTATAAAAAATGTCTGAAGTATCAGGTGTAAATGACGAACAGATATCTTTAGAGCAGATAATGTCTTCTAATTCATCAATCACTTTAATGTTTTCTTCTATTAATCTTCGTATATACCATAACTTTTCACACAACAATATGAAATTTTTTCTGCTTTGTGACAAGTAATTATTCATGAAGATTGGTAGATCCAAAGAAAATAATAATTGCACATTATGAAATTGTTTATACAACCTATTGTTTACATATATGTCCAATTTTGTGTCTAAATAAAAATTGATTAATTTAATAAACAATTTAAAAAAAAAAGATAAAAAAGATTATTTAACTTATGATAAAAATGAAATAATATTATTTGTAACTCATCAACAAGAGGTTCTAACTCGTCAGTATAATTTTCAAATTTTCTTAAAAAACTGATATTGTGATTAACAGCATCTTTGGAAAATATAGAAAGATGGTTAAAATCCTCATTTATATGTTTTTGATTGTTTTCCACAAATGGTCCATTACTTGTCTCTAAATAAATAAGCTCATATTGACGATCATATTTTATGTTTAACTTGTATCCAAAAAAAATCTGCAAATCTAACGGGACCATTGTCTTTACCATTTCTATGTTGTGTTGCTTGGCTTTTAGAACCATCAAATCTACCCTCTAATCCCAATTCAAACAAAGTGAAATTTACCAATCCATCAACAAGATTGTGCATATATGTTCTTTCATTAATATTTTGTTTACTTTGGTAAGCATTGTTTGTTGTCCAAATTCTTTTCCTATAACATTTTTTTAGGTTAAGTAGTTAATTAAAAATTATGTTCTTTTTTATAACAAAATTATGTATGCATGTTCTTTCATTGATATTTTGTTTACTTTGGTAAGTATTGTTTGTCCAAATTCTTTTCTTGATTGCTTTTTTTAAGTTAAAAATTACATTCTCACTTACATTTTGAGCATCATACCCAACAGTTCATGATAAAAGCTTTGTTCAAGTCCAACAGAAAGTGGAACTTCAACTTTGTTGTATTTAAAAAAATTATTAATAAATGCACAAGTATCCTCTGACATTTCAACATATTTTATGATCTTGGTTTTCTTAACCAGTCCAACTTTGATTAAATTGTTGTAGAAGATTGGGAACTTTCTTTCGAGTTCTATTTCATTAATAATCCCATTTGAGATTAAATCTTCAGGTTTCAATCCTAATTGGTTGATATTATTTGAAATAAACAGAGGAACTCTGTGCATTTCCAGATATTCGCACAAAATCTAAATAAGTAGATTATAAATAATTTAAGTTTTTTGATTGATTTAGGTAAACCAAATGAATAACCCACCACCTTTATTTTCTCTTTAGTCCTTTCAAACTCAAGATCTGATGACTCTTCATCAGTATAGTAATCACTGCCTCCATTATCTGCTGAAGAAGATGATGATGATGGTGAAAATGATGACAATGATGGTAACAATGGTGATGGTGACGATGGAAGTAACAATGCTGATGGCAACAATGAAAGTAACAATGCTAATGGCAACAATGAAAGTAACAATGCTGATGGCAACAATGAAAGTAATGATGTTGATGGCAATGATAAAAGTAACAATGATGCTGATGGCAACAACAAAAGTGACAATGCTGATGAATCACTCTTTTTATTATCTTCATAATTTTGGTTTGAACCTTTTTCAGATGCTAACAGTTCAAACACCTTGAAATATTCATTGATGGTATTCCACACACCCACAAGAGCATTTCTCATAAACTAAAGAGTATATATGTTTAGTTAGAATTATTTTATATAAATAAGTTTTTTTTACAAATAAAAGATGTATTCAGTGATGTTATACAGTTCGACACTTCTGTAGACACGTGACATTACAATGTAATTTAAGTTTCAGGTGGTTTGGTAGTTTTTTATAAATGGTGGTTATTCCAAAGGAAACAAACACAGGCTGACTGGACTGGATGGACAATTTAATATCCCTGACCACTACCACCACCTTCTGCTTAAAAAAAATCATCATTGTAGAAATCAGCCTCTTATACACCCAAATGCCCAGATCCTACTAGGGATATATTATAGAGTCAAACAGTAAACTCTATAATAATTCCCATTAGATGTCTAAGCTGCGAAACTGCAAACATCATTCATCATCTAAATGAATAAATAAATATAGAAATAAAGTGATACTTACTCCTTTTGTCTTATTTATTAATCTCGAGTATGTGCTATTAAACATGCTGATGCCTTTGGTAGTAAATTTTGGATTATTCAAATCGATTTCCTCATTTCATATTGAATTGTTTCTTCTGCAACAGTCAGTCATGCTGCCTTGGTATCTTGTAATTGTAATATTTATAATTATTATTATGATTACGCAAAGCAAAATACCGATCATTTATTATCTATCATCTTGATAAGAATCTTATAATTACCCAGCAATGATCTGTTCCGTGTTTTGATTTCCAATTAAAATATTTATAAACTAAAATAAAAATATCAATCAATACAAATAAAAAAAAGTACCTCTGGTTAGTTATTAACACGTTTTCTTTAGAAGACCCAAACCAATCCAAACAACAACACTCACGTTTTGTCACCTTGGGCTCTGTCAAAAAATAAATCGTTTTTTGTTTTTCCAAAAAAAAAAAAAAAAAAAAATCAATTCGCGTCTGTCCTCCCGAAAAAAAAACTAATAGGATAAATAATTAATGTGTACGCGTCAAACTCCTTTTTTATATTTTATAAACATGTCATCAGGAAGATGCTGCAGAAGCAGTTGTTGGGTAAGTGTTTTAAGGATGGTGGTGGTGGTTGTCTCCACTTGTCGTTACTCTAGTTATTTAAAAAGAATGGTGGTGGTGCAATATTGAAACACGTTGTCATTCTGGTTTCATTAATACATTTAACCAATAAACTAGATCCAAAAAATCAAGAATTGAGGAACTTCGGCCGGTCAAATGGACTACCTTAGTCCATAATGGTGTTTATTTTCCACCGGAATATGTCCCTCATAATTGTCAAGATGAAGTATAATGGTATGGCATTATATAATCTAATTTTCTTTTTTAATGCATGTGTATTTGAAAATATTATTATTGTTGTTGTTATAATTTTTTAATTATATTCCAAACTTTTTACAATAATCATTATTGATTTTTTTTTTCAAAGGAGATGAAATAAAACTCTCTCCTGAAGCTGAAGAAGTAGCAACAATTTATGCTGCATTGTTAAACACAGACTACATAAAGAATGACACTTTCAACAAGAACTTCTTTAAAGATTGGCAAGCTGTATTAAGAAAATCCACAAATTGAGGATTTTGAAAAATGTGATTTTACTTCTATATACAATTATTTATGAGAAGAGGAGGAACAAAAAAAGAATTTTTCAACAGAGGAAAAACAAAGGTTGAAAGATGAAAAGACCAGGATAGATGAGTTTTATGGTTATTGTCAGTTAGATGGACGTAAAGAAAAAGTTGGTAATTTTAGAATTGAGCCACCTGGTTTGTTTAGAGGTCATCCTAAAACTGATTTGTTGAAATTGAGAGTCACCCCTGAGCAAATAACAATTAATCTCAGTAAAGATGCACCCACCCCTCCTCCACCTGCTGGCCACTCCTGGGGTAGTATTCAACATGATAACACAGTTACCTGGCTTGCCAAATGGAAGGAGAATGTAAATAACAAAATAAAATATGTGATTTTAGCACCCAATAGCTCACTTAAAGGTCAAAGCGATTTGGAAAAATTTGATAAGGCTAGGGAACTTGATAAACATCTAGAAAAAATTCACCATGATTACACAGAGGATTTAAAAAATAAAGACAGATTTGTTTGTCAATGTGCTACTGTCAATATTTTATTGACAAGCTTGCATTAAGAGAGGAAATGAGAAAACTGATGGAGAAGCAAATACTGTGGGTTGTTGTTCCTTCAGATATGAAGATATTACTCTGGTGCCACCAAGGACAGTCAAGTTTGATTTCTTAGGTAAAGATTCAATAAGATACATAAACTCAGTAGAAGTAATAGAACAAGTTTTTGAAAACCTTGGAATATTTATGAAGGAATCTGGTGAAGCGTTATTTGACAGATTATGGGTACAAAAATACAAGATTTAAATTTAATCAATTGCATATATGTGTGTGCGTTTGTGTTTGTTCTATTAATAAATTCAAATTTTCTTTAAAATTCATTTAGACTCAAGATTTGAATAAACATTTGTCTGAATACATGAAAGGACTAACCGCCAAAGTATTTCGTACATACAATGCATCTCATACCTTCCAAATTGAGCTAAAGAAAAGGATGGAGAATGCTACTACTATAATAGAGAAAGCGGTAGCATATAATGAAGCAAACAGACAGGTTGCTGTTTTATGTAACCATCAACATTCCACAGTATCTGCTTCTTTGCCAGTTTTCTTATTTCCTGCTCTTAATGCAAGCTTATCAATAAGATATATGGCAGTAGTACATTGATGAACTGAATTGAGTTTATCTTTTAAATCCTGTGTGTAATCCATAACAATTTAAAACATCTTGTGTAGTACAGTAATATTTACATCTGGAAACATGACATATAATTAATTATTATTTGTAACATCAATTATTTTGTGTCTTTAATTATTATTTATTATTTATCTATGTCCACAAATCTTCCAGATAGATTGATAAGAGTTATTATGATTATTTTATTTATATTTTATCAATCTTTTATTATTATTTATATTTTATTTACATTATATCAATCTATATAAAGGACATCATTTTAAGATAATAAAGATAACTTGTATTTTTACAATAATTAAAATACCTGTTCAACGAATGTGTTATGATATTGTTTTTATTTTCATTAAGAAAAGTAATTCTTACACAAGCTCTCTAGCTTTATCTAATTTTTCCAGGTCATTTTGACTGATTTTTGGTTTTTTTTCACTAATATATTGGTTAAATGTATTAATGAAACTAGAGTAACAATGAGTGGTGGGCAATAACCACCACCACCATCCTTAAAACATTTACCCAGCCAATGCATTACCATGATCATTTTCTTGTCTTCTTTTATTGTTATTGCTTTTATTTGGCATTTTAATAAAGAAGTTTGTTATTTTATCAACATGTACACATTAATTATTTATCCTATTGGTTTTTTTTTTGGTATATAGGACAGATGCAAATTGATTGATTTTTTTTTTTGGAAAACAAAAAACAATTTATTTTTTGACAGAGTCCAAGGTGACAAAATGTGAGTGTTGTTGTTTGGTTTGGTTTGAGTTTCCTAAAGAATATGTGTTAATAACTAACCAGAGGTACTTTTTTTTATTTATATTGATATGTATGAGGTGTCTTTTATTTTAGCTTATAAATATTTTAATTGGAAATCAAAACGTGGAGCAGATCTTGCTGGTAATTACAAGATTTTCATTGATAATATTTTGCTTTGCATAATCAATAATAATATTATTATATTATTATATTATTATAATTACAAGATGTCAAGGCAATATACTGTTTAAAAAGAAACAATTTGATATGCAATGTTTGATTATTGGAAATTTTTAGAGATGTTGAAGCATGCATGCTACCTTGAACACTTTATGGTCATTCACATATGTTCCTCATGTAAGGTTGTGGGCGAAACCTCTTAATGACTGTTGAAACTCTGTCAAAACTCTAATGAACAATTAATGTGTAACCTGTTGAAACTCTGATGATTGGCAAAAACCCCAAATGCGAAACTCTGCCGAAACTCTAATAAACAATTAATGTGTAACCTGTCGAAACTCTGTCGATTGATTTCTGGAGGAGTTTCTCCCGCAACCTTATCCTCATGTACACAAAGCTAATCTGACTTGCAATGCCCGATGACATGATGATGCAACAGAATTCCAGGTGGGTCACTCTGCCCTGGAACAACATTAAAACTGCATCAATTGTCAAGGACGCTTTTCACTAATCTTCCCTTACAGCACCAGACCAGAGAAGGCCACTGGCATGCTATGGTTGGCTCGGTATAAAGACCTTCTATTGTTGCGCCATGTGCTCAAATTTCAAAAATTGCAATTTCGTGATTCGTTCAAAAATGCAATAAATTTTTTTAAAAAAGGGTTACACGTGATTTTGGTCAAAAAACTATTTTCCTTACTGCCAAATTTAGATATGTTGGTCGAGTATTAGGCTAAATTTAGGAATGATGATCAAAAACTAGTCTAAATTTAGCAATGATCCTAGTGCTCAAATTTCTCATGAGCATAGTAAAGTACATGTTTTAAAAAAGAATAGAACTCTACAATAAATAATTTTTTGGAGAAAATCTCTTCATTACATTAAAAGTAGAAACCTATTTTACCAACTAATGAGGCTATTTTTTTAAAAGGTAGGACAGAAAATGACTTCTATACTTTTAAAATTTGCCCAAAATTTAGGAGGTCTTTAGACCAAGCCAACTATAGCTGAACAGTCACCTGCAACAATCCCACCTCTAGGGTAAGGATAGCTCTGTGACCAAGTTGCAACTCTGTTGATACTCTTATTGTGATAGTCACCATGATCACTGGCATCAAGGAGAAAGCTGTAAAATAAAATGGTTCAGATTTTGTTTGGTATGTTATAAATTAATCATTTCCCCAAATTTTCTGCATCTCTTTAATATTTTTTGACCAACTGCACTTGTTATTTAAATAAATGGGGTATGGTTGTTGGTCAGTAGGCATGCCACTGACAAGACAGTGACCCAGGACTCAAAACTCTGAATTCAGGGAAAAACCAAAACAGCAACCCAGGTTGCAACCTTCTGAGTTGGAGAATTTTCAATCAGTTGCAGGTGCCAACTTTTATGTTAGTGTGGCAATAACATGCAGCAATCATCACAAAAATGCCAGCTATCAATGATCAATGCCCATATGGTAACAGCCAAGCCAGTGGGGTGGTTGTAGTCTGTACAGACTACAACCACCCCACTTATTCTAGACTATAACCTCCCTATGTGGTTGATTTTATGATTCTGGCCGCATTTGAGTGTTAAATAGACCATTGTAGGTAGATTATAACTTCCCCAAATATGTGGCCAATTTTTGTTTTTTGGCCACCTTCGAGAGCGGCCATTTTTCATTTTTAGGCCACATTTTTGTCTTATTTTAGTTCGATTTTTTATTTACACATCAGATAACGTCTACAGACGTTATGGACTGCTTAATTATCTAACTATCTTTTTTAGCCGTTTTATTGTCTTCAAAGCTTAAAAGGCTATGCGATCTAAAAAATCTAACCAAAATGCGGCCAATTTTTAATTTTTGGCCACCCAGATGGAATCGTGAAATCGGCTACATTCGAGTGTGGCCATTTTTTATTTTTTGGCCACCCAGATGGGTTGATTATCGATTACTGGATCAAAAATTTTGTTTACTTTTGCGTATCATTTTTATCACCATATCAAAAATTTTTATGAGTACAAAATAGTCTATTTCATAATCAAGTACTAGTAGTCTAATAAATTACTACAAAAACATATAAATAGAACCTCTATCCCCTACTTTGGACTGAAAAAACTAATTCATAAAATATACATTTCTTATATCTCTATAAACAATACATTTCCCAGGCGAATTGCCAATTTTTTCGATTGCAAGGATGAGGCACGAAGTGCCGAATTGGCAATCTGTATTTTGGCACGTAGCCGAATTGTTATCTCACTTGGTAGTACGTAAAAGCACAATTTTTCTTTATCTCTCCTTATATTATTCTACCTTTGGGTACTACCGCAAGTACGATATGTTTTGGGTCCCTAGAAAGCTTTCTCGTATAGTTGATGTTTTTGAGTACTTCCAATTTATGTAAAAATTCGTCCTATGCTTTGTCATATTACTATCAAAAATTGGATCATACTTTTGCGTACTACCTATTTGAAAAATTTTACTGGATTGAAAAATTTGTTTGCACTACCAAATCAAAAAATTCGTCAAAAAATTTGTTTACTTTTGCGTACTACCAAATCAAAAAATTCATCCTATGCTTTGTCATATTACTATCGAAAAATTGGATCATACCTTTACGTATTACCGAATCAAAAAATTGGATCGAAAATTTTGATCTTACCTTTGCGTATTACTTTTATGTATTACCATATCAAAAGAATTTTTACTTTGACCAGAATCATGCCCCCTTTATATAATCTAGATATCAAAGTATTAATTTTTTATTTGAATTTTTTCAAGCTAGGACGGATTTTTATAAATGTTCGGAAATATAGTCTACTCGGGCTCTTTTACCTCAGGTCCACTTTGGGAGAGCTTTTCAAGCTTTTTCCAGTAGTATTCCACTATTCTTCGATGTTTAGCATGTAAAATACATAACTTATATTTAGATCCAGTTAGCCTACCGCACTCTTCGCAAGGTACAGGTCTAGGAGAATCCCAATGATCTTCACAACCCTCTGGACGATAACTTCCCCGGTTACATTCCTCACCAGTTCGAAGGATATAACGACAATGATAAAATCCCATATTTCGCTTTGTTAAATCTAAATTATCTGGAATTTCTATATTTTCTTGTTCCTCTTCACTTTCTTGCGAGCCAAATAAACCTACATCATCACTGCTTCTTTGTCTTTTTCCAGTTAATTTTACGCTTATCATCGCTAATATTTTAAATTAAAGCTATTATTCAATACTAATTTTAAAATATAGCGCATTTAAAAAATGGATCATCGAAAATTTTTTACTTTGGTATATCACTTTGGATCAAAAAATTGGATCATACTTTTACGTACTACCAATTCAAAAATTTTATTCTTACTTTTGTGTACTACCACATCGAAAAATTGGATCATACTTTGACGTATTACCTTGGCGTATTATGTGTTGAGTCAAAATACCTTTGCATATATCAATAAATATATCGCCTACCTGAAATTTTACTTCGATCAGAACTATTTTCGGATTTGGACTTCGTAGATTTTTCTTTATTCCAAATAATAAGCTTATGCACAAACCGTATAATTAGTATTGCTATTATTATAAGAATAACAAGCTTAACAATGGGAGGGATTCGATACTTATCATTAACCAAGGTTTCACATACCCCTAATGCCCCAATAGGTAATATCTCAGCCATTTTTGTTTTAGTCGCATAACTTTGATCATTTCCAATGAAATCAGTTTTAGAGATGGCTTCTTCCGAAAAATCTTTAGTCTCTACTATTTGTGAAATATCAGCGTTACTGGTAGAAGACTTCATATTAATTGATCTCGAAGAATCGGGGATTTGAGGCTTTGTCTTGTCATTAGCCTTATTTACGGTATCACTGGATTGGGGTATATCGATTTCTTCTATCTGGTCCATATTTTTTTTTCGTAAATATTTACTAAGATTTTTTATAGTAATAGGTTTATTAACTGCAAAGATATCAGATGCGAAAGCATCCTCACTTCGTGAGACGGAATTCGATATTTTTTTTTCATCCATCTCACCACCGATCTTGACTGGTTCTGCTGATAACCTGATTTCTAAGGAGTGTATCTCTGAAGTTTTCAAGGCCAAATCATCTTTCATTCGTTTCAATTCGTCATCTTTCAATGCCAATACATTTTCCATATGCGCCAATTCACTATTTTTCGAAACTAGATTAGAATTTAAAGCAGATAATTCGGTCCTAAGGGGGGTAATCTCAGATTCTTTCATAGACAAGTCCTTCTGAGCCGAAGATAATTTCATCTTCAATGCTTCTATCTTAGATAAGAAATCTTTCATCTCTTTGGATTTTGAACGAATCTTGTCTTTGAAATTACTAAGTAAAAGATCTTTATCAGTAATGCGGGATTTGAGAGTATCTATTTTTGAGCGCAATTGTTTAACCTTGTCTGTAAGCCGATATATATGATTGGAAAGCTCCTTATTATTTTGACGTAATTGAACATTCTCCTTATTGATATTTTTGGTACGATTCGAGTATACCACTTGCATATTTTTATATTCACTAGTAATTTCGGAATTGGACTTGATACTATAATGTAATGCCTCCTCGAGTTCCTGTTCGCGGATACTGCCAAGCCTACACCCCTGCCCTTGTATTTTTTTGGATTCCATACTCTTGGTATCTCGCAATGTACGTACATTGGCCATATATTCTAAAAAATAATAAATCAAGGCTAAGTAATAGATATATTATATATACTTTTGGTTTATCGATATTGCAAATACTAGTTATATTACCAATATTACTGATAATGATTTTTATATATTACCGATATTATTGATATTATTGATAATAATTTTTATATATTACCGATATTACCGATATTATTGATATTAATTTTTATATATTACCGATATTATTGATATTATCGATATTACCAATATTACTGATAATGATTTTTATATATTACCGATATTACTAATATTACTGATATTATTGATAATAATTTTTTTTATTATTATTAATATTATCAATATTACTGATACTACAAATATGTCATTGAAACCATGCGGTCTGATGCAGTCAAACTATCACCAACAGACTATGATTATATTATGCGATATAAAGATGCAAAATCCAAACCTCTAGTTATGCTTAGAGAGAAATATCCTATATCGAATAGCCGTTTTTATTGGATATGGAAGGGATATGAGGTTTGTACAAATACTTGGAATCCGTCCTTAGCTAAATCAGAAAACAATATTCCGGTATCTGTAGTTGTAAGGGATACAAAAAAGAAATCCAAATCCGTTCTTATATCTGATCCGTCTTCCGATAGAAAAAAATCGATGAAAAAAGAAACTATACCGCCTGTTACTTCACAAGAGACTGAAGATGTTTTGGAATTACATAAGAGACAGCAGAAAGAAATGGAAAAGATTAGAGCAAATGGTCGTATACTTGGATCAAACCTATAAGGTCTGTAATTTATAATTAATCCTGTTCGTATAGAACACGCGAATCATTATAATATCCGATCATTTCAGAAAGAGATTGAATACTGGTAAACAATGCCTTTTCGAGTTCTTTTTCACGGTTTGACTTATTCTCACAATTTATGCATTTTTTTTTAACTCAGTATCCAGCTCTTCGGGATTAGAGGAAATTGGATTAACGTGATGTACCTCAATCTTATTTTCTACCTTGTGCATCGTAACTGGAATGTAAAAATCTTTCCCATTACAATTGATCCTCAGTTGATCCTTATCTCCTAGTATTTGATATTTGTGACGGTAAAGGAAGGGATTACTCAATATAACCATAGACTTGTCATATTCAATGACTGCAAAATCTAAATGAAATACACAACCAGGAGCTAGGGTTAATGGTACGTTATAAACCATTCCAATAGATTTGGTTAGGACAGTGGCCGCCCCCTTGAAATAAAACACCGCACTTTTATCGATTTTTAAACCCAAGCGTTCAGCAATGTCCTTAGACATAAGTAAAGTATTTGAGCCAGGATCGACTGTAATGGCAGAAAGCACTAAACGATTGATTTTACCCCAAACAGTTGGAACATCTATCACATCTTTATCCCGAACAAAGTTAATTTCCATATCTTCGATAATTTCTTCATCTTCAGTATCGCTTTGAGAATGGACTTCATTTATGGGATTAGATTTCTGGAAATTTCGTAAGATTTTACTTATAACTTCCTCTAATAAAGCAGAATTTATAAACTCGCTTTGGATTATCTCACGAATTCGTTGCTCTAGTAAAGTTGAAGCGGGTTTTTGTGATTCATGTAGTGAAGCTTGTTTCGGAATTTGCTTTTGCGAAGGTGTTTTATTTGATATCTTTTTAATAGGTAGTCTAGGTCGCTCTATTTTTTTTTAATTCTGTCTACATCAACATTGGAATCTCCATCGGATATATTATCCTCTTCTTGATCGGAAATAACAAATCCATCAGGATTTTCTTCTGTATCAGAGCCTTGTTGGAACCCATCGGCAAAATTCACGCAACCAATTTTTTTCTTGGAATTATTAGCTATCATATTCTTAATTATGGGACAACTGCGATAAGTATGTCCCAGCTTTTTGCAAATTTCACATTTGCGCTGGATCGGCCTAGTACTTACTCTAGGATCTCTAGCCAGATTTACTGATGAATTGGGGGGATTAGGCAATCCCTTAAGTTGATCTAATTTACACGCAACATTGACTATTGCGTAATCAATTTCCATCAGTTCTAGTACTCTGTTACCTTCAGCTTCGAGACCCATATCTGCATAATTCCTTAACTCTTCATAATACTTGGCCTTCTCAGTTCTAGGATGAAAATTTCGTTGATAATCATGTACTGGAGACGTTTTTTGAACGAATTGCGAGGGTGGTTGAACGATTTGTTGAGATGGTTGGAATACAGGTTGTTGTACAATTTGTTGGGGTATCTGAGACATCATCCCATTCATATTATTCGCACTTCCATAATTAAATGAAGAAGGCCTACGTTTAAGCCACAAATTTTTGAGATGAGTAAAGAATGCATTAATATCCGTGGGATTTGCACGTTC